GACGCAAGCTCAGCACGTTTTCACCCGAAACGAGGGAGGAATACTCGTGGACTGCGTCTACATGAATATAATATAAAAGCTAAACGGTTGCAGTACAACGATTTTCATCCGTCCTCATCTGGTGAGATCTACAAACGAATCTCTTCTTCGTGTACTTTTATTCGAAATGAAGGTCTCCCTAACAAGTAGTCAGTAGATCTAAATCTCTACGCGAGCTTGTGGAATTGTGAAATGGGAAAACATATATTTACCATTAAATTCACCTTAAGCACCCTAGGTTGACTTGGTTGTTATCCAATAATTACTGATGTTTTGAGGCATTCTCACTCCGAAAACAAGTAAAGTTTTCAATTTTAATAGAAAAAAACACATTTTGGTTGTGGAGAATTTCATTGCGCATGGAAGTGCACGATGACAGTCTCCACATCAAGGTGATCATAGGAGATTCGTTGAAACTCAGCTACTCGTCGTAAATACATTTTGCCTCATTGAAAGTCCCTCTATAAAAAAGTGACTTGGTACCAATTTGGCTTGTATCGGAAGTCACGTCTGACCCTTGGGACACACTGGCATCATGATTGTTTAACATTACTATAATATGTCGCCAGGATACACCCGACTTGGGTTTGAATCCATTTTAGAGTGTTGCCGGTCATGCGGAATGAGAAATTATTCTGAGTGAGACCATAATATGAGATGTATTCAATCTATTTCGTTCAAGCTGATGAAGGACTGGTAGCAGAATTTTCCCACAATGAAATGAGTACAGCTGACGTTTCCAATTACTTTAGCATAGCCTTGCTTTCTCAAAAGTTATTCTCATCCCGGCTGGAGTGGACTGCAGTTTAGACGTTGCAAAAGTCTTACCAACACCTCCAGCGGGAGTCGAACCGTGGCAGTGCAGAATGTGAGCTTGACACGTTAACCACTCGACCAGATTGCCACGACTGCCCGTGGGTCACAGAGCGGATGTGAAATTCAAGGAATGCTAGTTTTTTTCCATTTCACACTCTTTGATGTGATTGTCGATAAAGCAAACGTATTTTTGCCATAACAATCAACTACGTTACTTATTTTTCGTAGAAAAGCAGAATTTCGAAAGCGGTCAACGTGTCGAGCTCATATGCTGTCTTGTCACGGTTAGACTCCCGCTGGAGGCATTGATAAGACCTATGCAAGATCGGAACTGCAGTCCACTCTGGATGAGAACACCTTTTGGGAAAGTAAGGCTATGTGAAGTCCAATTGAAAACATCAAAACTAATTATATCATTGTGGGAAAATCCAACTACCAGTCCCTCACCACCTTAAGCGCAATGGCTTGAATAAATCTCATATTACTGATTTACTGGTAGTCTCAAGGCTGTGGTCATATACGAAAAATGAGACAATTACAGAAAGATTTTAATTGTCATTCCTTAGGTCAGTGGGATTAGGCTCTTAGTTGACTTTGGATTAACCCACCTTTCTTTTCAATAACGAACAAAGAGGAAGTGAAAATTTTTAATTTTTCTGGCTTGACATTTCGGTCATTTATTAATTGTTTTATGTTGGAATACCTTTCATTACGGGTGAATTTTTCTTATATGAGGCTTTCTATTTGTGTCAAAGTGTATCACGGAGAGAAAGACGAAATCCCAACGCGGATTCATCAGAGCAGGAATATGAGGCCTTCTTGGCACAATCTATCCGTCGCAGCTCCAACAGGTGTTCCAATTACCGAAGGTCACATAAAATGATAAATGACTAAAAGTTACATTTTCTCACTCTCCAATGAGTGGGCCTCATGATGCTACCCGATTTCACATGAAGTTCCTTTTCAAAGGTATTCTTATCAGGTTGAACTAGACTACGGTTTCAAGGATAAATGAAATTCCCCGGAAAATTGTACTATAACTCCCTCATGACCTTATGCGAACCTGGATGACTGAAACGCTTATTCAACGCATTTCGATAGTATCGAAACTTACTTTCTATGAATAATGTGGCCCCACCCCTCCAAGTTGGAAGATGATTTTGCATGATACCATGTCCATACAAATGGAATTCACTTTATAACATCTGCTGAAGCTATTGAAAGTGCCGTAAAATGAGCAATGTAAATGTCTCATGTGCAATCTTAGACTTGTGCACTTAACTGGGGTTTTTCGAATCAGCAAATTACAATATTCGTGAGTGAGTAGGATTTCGAGATTACCAGTAAATCAGATATATGATTTGTGTTCACCCTATTTCGTATTCATCCTTGATGGCGTAATGGGATAAAGGACCAATAATTGAATAGTACTGCCTCCTTTATGAATGGAATAAACACTTCCAAAACCCAAAGTTATTATTGGAGTCTTCGAGACCCAGCATCTCTTCATACCATCACCTTTTCGGCGTTGAGCCAGGAATCTGCACTTGCTCGAAACGGTGGCGGCAGGAGGGCTTTGATTTTCTACAACTGAGTCGAGGCACGTTGGCGGGTCCAAGTGAAAAATGTACAACAGTTCTATGCAGATGGGCAGATGACCAGATGGTCAGAAGAAAAGATGGACACACACTGGCATAAGCCTCATGGCAGGGGGCTGAGGGTGTTGGGGCACTTGAGGCAGACGATAGGCCCGCCGTTGCCTGGGGAGTTGGAGAGGTTGGCGATTTGTGCCGTGATGCTGTCGTCCTGGAGCAATTAGAACCCGGCAAGCCCTAATGACGTCGGACGGAGGGCAGACGATTCGGTCGACGAGGCCGGGTCACGACTCGGCGTGACTTTTCACCGCACACGCGGCTGCCAGCTCGAATTGTCAATCTTGTGGAAAATCACGCAAATCCCACCAATTAGCGAGGCATCGTGTCCCGATCCGGGCCGCAAGGCCTGTCAGATTGACACTTGGCCGTGGGCAAGTGGGCAAAATGGGAAAGTGGAAAAGTGTGTGACTAGGCAGATGGGAAAACACGAAAGTGGGCGAACGGAGTCGGCCACTGGGCGGCCGGGAAAGTGGGTAAATGGGCAAAGTGGGAAAGTGGGCAAGTGGGCAAATGGGCAAAATGGGAAAGTGGAAAAGTGTGTGACTGGGCAGATGGGAAAACACGAAAGTGGGCGAATGGAGTCGGCCACTGGGCGACCGGGCAAGTGGGTAAAATGGGCAAAGTGGGAAAGTGAGAATGTGGGCGAGTGGACGAGTGGATAGAACTGTTGATTGGCATCTAAGCCCCGTGGGTCGGCCCGACCCCTGTTCACCGATGCGGCCTCTCGTTGCACGATTGGAGAGCAGGTTTCCACGTGCAGCTTGAAGGCAATCCGAGGCACAGGCAGATGTGCCAGTCGGACGAAGGTGTCAGGTCTGCGGTTGCGTCTGTGAGCTACACAAATCGTTGGTCGCGTCTACGTGCTTTTGCTTGGATTTGCGTGCCCAGTGCCGCTTGGTTCAGACCAAGGCCGAGGGGTTTCGCGCCAGACCACTGGACCCCAATCTGTATGTGCAGATGGACAGGCAGACCGGAGAAACTGAAACGTTTCCATGGATGGCTCCGAGACCGGAGGGGTCCCGGCCGTTTGGCTGGCCAAACTGAGGCCCCCAAGTTGTCTGACGTAAGTGCAATCAGACGATAATGCCCATCAAGGCCTCATCAACCAACGCCAGGCAGCAGTTGTTATTGTGTTTGGTAGCCTCGTTGGTGCGAAGAGAGTGGATACAAGAGATGAACGGCATTATTAGACAACTCATTCTACAGCAGACTTATTTGCGTGACGATTTTGCAGTTACTATTGTTTCTGTTCGCTTTCTCTTACCACCTAATCAGACTCTAAATTGGCGGTGCAAAGTTGGAACGTGTTGCTATTTACCTCTCCGCAGCGGGGCGCATAGGCCCAAACTGCCCCATAATCTGATGTGAGCCTGCTTCCCCACAAAGTTATGTCAACAATCAGACACATAGTAACATAATCTCTTTCGCTGCTGCAAGTAGTGAAAGACGAGTAGTATGTTGAATGGGAAATATTCATTTTTAAATAGTAGCTGAATTCACCATAGGTGGGATAAAGTGATGAATATTCCCATAATAATTAGATTAGACCTCTCGTTTCTCATATTCTCAACCTTTTGGGAAGCATTGCAATGCGAAATTCAATGGAAACGTGAGGCTACACATATCATTATAAAATTCAATTATCAGTCCCTCATCACTATATGGAAGCTTTGATAAAGGGAGTTCTTACTTAAGCTCCATCCACTCGATACGAATTTCCGTTTTTCTCTTGGCATGTGTGTTTATATTCTGGGCTATCACCTCTTTGGGGCTAGACTACAATCAATTTTTCGTATGTAGACAGAGTTTTAACGTAGTCTATTGCTATAGCAAGAATACGTTTGCTTCGTTGTCAATCTCACCAAATAATGTGATATTGGAAAAGGCTTGGTCTTCCTCAAAATTCACATCTGCCCTGTTACCCAAGGGCACTCATGGCAATGTGGCCGAGTGGTTAACGTGTCAAGCTCACCTTCTGTACAGTCATGGTTCGACTCCCGCTGGGGGGTGTTGATAAGACCGAGGCGAGGTCGAGACTGCAGTCCACTCCACCCCGGATGGAAAAAGCATTTGGGAAATCAAGGCTATGTGAAATTCAATGGAAACGTCAGCTCTACTCATATCATTGTGGGAGAATTCGACTACCTTCATCACCTTAAATAAAATAGGGTGGATACATCTTATGGACTATAATCTACCCTAGTTTAATCGAAGGTATAAAGAGCAGGTTGGTGTGGCCATTTTTATAGCCGCGGTCTCCCTTCGTTGTTTAGAAGTTGTTTGACCTTGTCTTCACAACTTGGTCATATTGGTAGGAAGACTTAGAGGAAGGCACCTAGTCCGGAGTCCAAGTATGCATGATCATTTCTTTGAAGAGTTGTAGCTTGGTTGCTGAGACTGGCAAGACTCACTGCTGATGCCGACGAAACATCTGGGAATGTAGCAAGTCCACGGTCCGACTCTTGAAATGATGATGCATACAATCGACTCCGGACAAGATGCGTTCCTCTAGATCTTCCTGCTAATATGACCAAGTTGCGAAACCCAGGTCAAACAACTTCTATACAATCTACCCTTTTTAGATATTGGTTAAGTGTGGAGACTCGACTTTTCCTTTCGAAATACAATTTGGTTTAAAAGGATTCATCATCATCAAAGTCACCGTCCTGCAACCCAGCTCTATCTGTGCTGAGCTGTTCCGTTGTGACAGACTTCGTCAGCATGAAATGACCAACTGTGACAGAAATACACACACAATTTCGAAGGTGTAATTTAGCATTTCTTGGTATGGTTGCTAATTCATGCTTCTTCAGACATCCTTTCAAATAAGAAAAGTTGATTTACGAAGATAATGAGCATGTGGTAACAATGTAGCTGCGATGTGGTTCCATGTTGTTCCAATGTTGACGTGTGCCTTGACGTGTGATATAATGTGTTATCTTTGCGTGTACAAGGGTCATGAGACTTATGAGGCATGAGAACCCTAACCATGTTCAAATTGGTTCAATTCTTCTTATTAAACCTTACTCCCGCTCTCTCGCTCTCCTTCTCCCAAAGCCCAACCAACAGAAAGAAACAGTCCTCATCAATTTCCTCTACTCTTTCCTTTTGATAAGGGATGATTGACTGTTTCACAGGACTCGACTTTGCCTTTATAAGGAAAAATAGATACGAAGGATCTCGTGAAATGCCCTTGTGAACCTGTGATAAGCTTTTGTCTGTCTAGCCATGACATACATCGTCAAAACTAGAAACCACACCAAAAAATTCATTAATATACTATACTAAAAGAATAGTATATTGGCGGGCTTCTTTGTAAAGTATGCGTTCCCATTTCGACGATGTCTGCCACAGCGGATCAAATGGAAACTCAATACGAGCTCATCGGAATCGCATGACAGCAAGCCGAAGTCTGGTTAACACAATCTATCAGACTCAACATAATGGCAGCCAATCTTCGTAGAGGTGCTGGTGATAGCAATTCATTAATTCCTTGAAACCAATTTTTCCTTCGAAATAAAAAGTCGGCTCCGAATGGATCATTTAACACTTTAATCTATTTCTATAGATAGAAGTTGGCTGACATTACTTTCGCAAATTGGTCGTGTTGTCAGGGCGACCCAAAGTAACGCAAGTATTCTGGTTATACTTATGCCTATTAGGATGGGGCAGGCGAGACACGGCAGAGATGGATTGCAGTTGAAATCTATTCTGCACAGTTCATTGGTCTCCATTCCAAAGATCTCTCTTCCTCGCATAAGGTCTCTGGTCACTACAGGTCATATAAAGGGATAAATTAAATCTACCAGAATTTAAATAACTAGGTCTCATAATACACAAATTTAATTTAGTCTTGCCCCACAGAAGGTATTCATATTCAAGCTAGACTGCAGTCATATAGTCATAGTCTAATAGGGATAGCCATATAGTCATAGTCATTTAGATATAGTCATTTAGTTATAGACATATATTCATACTCATATAGTCATAGTCAGATAACCAAAGCAATATTATCATAGTCATATAGTCATAATCATTTATTCATAGCCATGTAGTTATAGCAATATAGTCCTAGTCATTAGGTCATATTCATTTGTCATAGCCATATAGTCAGATAGTCATAGCCATATAGTCATAGTCATATATTCACAATCATATAGTCA